GCCCCTCACAAAATTTCGAAAGTTTCTAAATAGGGTGCCCAAAATGCCCACTGCTCCTATTGGTGCCCCTCTCTATGCCCCTCCCTCTGCTGTCCCCAGCCCTCCCTGTGGGAGGGGCTGCCACACCCAGTAGCTAGAGGGGAATTTTTTCTGTTTTTTTTTTTTTTTAAATGTAGTTAGTTGCAAACTCTGATCTGTTAGGGACCAGTAACATTGTATTTGCATATTTGAAATTATTTTCATAAACGAATATGCAAATATAATATTGCAAGTCCACCAAAAGTAAGTAGTCACAGCGATATCTGTCATGGTAGTAAAGCTACATGCATGTGCAGATGTTTGCAGGGTTAGGGCCTAAAACTGTAAACTCTTGGGGCAGGGACTGCATACTATCTATATAGATATATGGGCTATGGCAACTAGATCAAAGGGACCCTAGTTTGGCTGAGGCCTGTAGGCCTACTGTAGTAGGAATAATGCATAATAGAGTGCTGGATGTATTACTATCAAAATATAGTCCAAGAAAATTATGGTTGGCACAAAATAATGAAAATGATAGTACTGCTTTTAAAGGCTGAATTCCCATCATGGAGTGCCATGAAGTGCACTTTATTACTGATTTTTTTTTGTTTTGATTGCTATTGTCATGTGAATGTGCATTCAGTGTGCCATTTATTTGGTAAATTTACTTTGTCTTTGTTAAATTGAATTTAAAAAAGAGACTATAGTTCTATGTGTGCAATGTAGAAATTCATAGTAATGCTAGGCAAGCCCTGCTCTAATATAATAAGAAATCTCTTGTCTCCTATGGTTTTAGAGTTCTGAAGTTATAGTCATTGTAAGAACAAATAGCAGTTGTAAAGGCATTTGTCCATGTTAACATTTTATTACTCCAATATTGCATTTAGGTGTTATGAATAAGATATGAATGGTCACTGCTGGTGGAAATATAAGCAGGCATAAAAATAGAAACTTTGAACAGCTTTCCGTGTAAGCTGAGCTGAAACAGCTCCCAGGAGACACAACAATATTCACATTTGAAAAGTTATCATCTGGAAAAACTCCACTTTTTCCAGCCATGTATCCCAACAGAAAGTTTTTTGGGAAATCCAGTTCAGTGTCTCAAATTGTAAATTTCCCTCTAAATGTAATCACTGGCTAAACCTAGAAGTCAATCCCTTCTTTAAATCTGTGTAGCACTTTGATCTGCCTTGAATAAAGACAGCTGTTCTTAATACATCATAATCAATAGAATCTAGGAGCATGTATTCACTCGCTGCGCAATAGATCGCTCTTCTGGTGTTCGATTTAATGGGTCTAGCTAAGACCTGTAAATCAAACGGTGAGGGCAGCTCCAACCGGTGCCTGTACTCCTTGCAGTCATGAGGAATAGGGGAAGCCAACGGGAATGTTTGCTCCCATTGGCCTCCCTCTGTGAAGACAGTGCCAAGCTTGGGTTTAAGGTATGCTGACTCCAGCTACAAATATTATGTAGTTGGAGTTGCGTACCTTATCCTGACCTTCCAGATCTAGTGTAGATAGACCTGGCCTAGTTTTAACGGTTATTTCCCATGTGAGCTCTTTGTTCTCAAACCTGAACTATGTGCTAATTCATTTATTGCTTGTACTTTTGAGGTGCTCAAGTTATGGCATTGAAAGGGGTCTGAGTTGAGTAAACCAGTATGTTATGCTTGTTTCTCTGAACAATGCAATATTAAGCAAAAGAAAACAATACTATATATATGTGTGTGTGTGTATATATATATATATATAGTGAGCTCTTTGTTCTCAAACCTGAACTATGTGCTAATTCATTTATTGCTTGTACTTTTGAGGTGCTCAAGTTATGGCATTGAAAGGGGTCTGAGTTGAGTAAACCAGTATGTTATGCTTGTTTCTCTGAACAATGCAATATTAAGCAAAAGAAAACAATACTATATATATGTGTGTGTGTGTATATATATATATATATA